CCTGAGGACCGAGTCTTCAGCGTAATCGTTGCTGTCGTTCCCAGACTTTAAGCCATGACGGGTAATCGTAATCTTGCTTTCGCCAATACAAGCAACCAAGCTATCGCGCTGCTGTGATAGAAGCACCATGCAGTGTCGAGCCTGCATAGAACAACGCCACTTGAGGAGTCCCTTTCTTGTACGAGGCCTTTCCTGTTGATACGCGCATACTGTACGTGCTCGATCTCAAGTGTCGTCGGGTTCGAAGGGCTGGCGCTTCTTGACAATGCACTGACAAGGATGCGAAAGAAATACTGTTATTACTTATCCCAATGGTTGCAGAACACGAGAATCGTGTCACCCATCTCGGGCAGACGAGGAGGTTGCCTCGAGTCTCATTGGGCGAGGCAGGGAGCCGCACGCATTGTGGCTTCGACCATCACTCGAAAGCGGTGACAGACCTGTGTCACCACCTTCAAGGACTAGCCACAGCATTCTTGAGGCTGCAATCGACCAAGTCATTGGCGAGTTGGCTGCGACGGTGGACGGTCACTTGCGGCGCGTCGCCCGCGCAGAGACCCGTGGGACAAGGTTGACGTGGAAGACGATTCTCTTTACGATGGATTTGCTCGTCGAGCAGCGCCAATTCAAGATCGAACGCGATGCCACCAACGGACTTGCCGTCGACGTCGCGGGGTTGGCGTAGTTCCAATAGTCATTCATTTATAACGCACGCATCATTTTTCATAGCATATTTGTGTTAGCAAGGTACTATGGACTACCGTCGCGCTACACTGCAAAGCGAATTGTTGTTTGGCTTAGACGTTGTAGCCAAGCAAGACGTCCTTGGGGCTGCAGTCGCACGAGCCCGGCGTGTACGATTCCGTGTGCGTCGCAACCTGCGCGAGGACACAGGTTGGGCAAAAGCACGCACAGCAAACGTCCTCGCAGCAGCTGCCGGGGATTCGGAAGCGGTCGCGGACTTCACCGCGGATGCAGAGAATGGGGAGACCGGCGCACAGCGTAAAGAGCAAGCACGAACTCCAGAAGGACCCGGTCAAGCGGTGGCGCGTCTGCGCGTACGAGATGCACGGGCAGCACCACGTCATCAAGCAGTTGGGGACACATGCGTCACAGCAACCGAAAATACCGGCCTTCCATTGACCGAGGAGGATGCCGTTCTGGTCGACGTTGTTCTTGCCATGCGCTGGCTGAGTGGCAGCTCTGCCAGCCTCCAAGTCGTGCGGGGCGCTGGTGCTCATGTTGGAAGAAGCGCGCAGAGGAGGCAAAAGACAAAGTGAGTTAGTTCATCAAATCGGTGAACGAGCTTAGATGTTCGATCCGGAACCTTCCGCGACTTGTCCGATGCGCCATTTTGCACGCGGTTGTATTCCGCACCGGGTTGAATATACTCGAGAGAAGAGAAGGACATGGGGCCCGAAGGATAGAAGAGTAGAAAGAGTAGAACACACGTCACGCGTTTATGTGGTCTTTCATGGATCCCACCTCATGATGATATCTCACAATACGAAGGAAACTTCTCCGCCCTCAACACACTGGTGACACGCATGAGCGACCACCTCGTCTAGTCTTTTGTATGCCGAGTCGGCGTTGCGGCCCATTTGGTAGCTAGCTTTCTGGTTGCAGCGTTTTCTTTTTAAGAACAACACAACAATCTCACTTGTAGACAGCGATGCTACAAAAAGGAAGAATATACACAATCGCGCTCAAAATTTGTACTGTCGCAGCGAACTCGTATCCTTGTGGCAATGACCAAGGCAGGACACAGCGTTGATGGGCAGGACGATTCATTCGCACATCGCATTGATCGGTCGGGCAAAATGCAGCATGTAGTTCTTCCAAGTACATACGTAGGAACTGCTTCTTTCCATTCTGTCGTCATGAGCAATGGGCAATTGCACGGTGGGTTGTATTCAATAGACTCACTTCAACAACAACGGTGGGTTGTGTTCGCCATGTCATTTGTCTGGAACGACTACACTACCACCAATTTAAAGCGCATATTTCGGAACATCCCATATTGATGCGAAAATTGTTATTTGAATTCGGCATGTTGCACCATCACCTTGGCTGGAGCGGACACGAGATTAGAGCACGGCTTGTCAGCGATAGCTCTTCCTTCCTTCATAGAGTATCGCACGAGGCGATACGGCCAACCTCAGGACTCAGCAAGTGCGATCCAACCTCCCTATCCAGTTGCGTGGACGCAAAAGCTCATTTGGCAACCATCACCTCGTCTTTCAGGTAAAACCAAGGCCAATGGCCTTGGTAACACCTTTGTCTACCACCAACTCAGAAAACCAGGGACAAAATCAGCGCACCGCGGCTTCGTTTTTCCATCAAAGGGCGCTTATCCAATTGACATCCCAAGCTGCGAGGGATGCTGCACGCCCTAGTACTCGGGTGTTCGTCCTACTCAAGGAAACACTTTGATCCTTCAACTGGTTCATTTGACGTGAGTGCAACTGACGAGATGTAATCTTTACTCCTGACGTTGTGCGAACTTGGTGCGATGCGAGTAGAAATGCGGAGGGAAATCCACTGGCGAGAACGTCCAATTGAATCTTCCATCAATCATGATGCATAAAGCCACCAATCACAGAGCACGGCGTTGCGATATGCGCGCATCAAACTCCTTTCTACGCGATGACGCCGGCGCCATTGTGGCACAACTCGGTCTTATGGCTTCTCCTGCTCGGTACGCTCAACGACGGAAGCTCGCTGCGTGGGCTGCGAGGCCAAACCGATTTTCTCATATCAGGAGTCGCACTTGTTGCCGGCAAAAGGGGCAAAGGAGGTGGTCGGCGAGGCGGGTCGAGACTTAGCAGGCCGAAGCCAAATCGAAACTGCGTCGAGGTTTGGCTGGCCTTTGCCTGCTCCTCCTAAAAACTATATTTCTACTCTCTACCGATACGTTGAAACGCCCAAGGCCATCGTCGACCATCTCCGGACGATCTGGCGGGCGCAACTCCGAACTGACCAGCGCGGCTACGTTCCACTCGGTCACGTAAATCTGCCATTTGACGCGCCACGCGACACACCGATCCCGCACCGCTCTCAACTCGTTACCTTTCCACCTCCGCTTACGCACATTGTCGATGGCGAGACGCAGCCCAAGCCCTTCCAGGTCAACATGATGCCCTTCATCATTGGCCAAGCCAAGACAACGCTGCCGCCCGTGTGTCGGCGCTACTTGCCGCTGCTCGAACCCGGGTGCCTATTATGTACCCGTGGCTCGGGCGCTGCCGCTACCACAACAAGAACGGAAAGGTCGGGTATCGTACGATCCACGAAGGCATCGTCGAGGCCGACACCTCCCAACGTCGCCCGAGGCTGCGCGTCAAAGCACGGTCCGCTGCCAAGCTCCAGCGCTTTCTGGGCGCTGGCGAAGCACGCCACAAGTGGGCTGAGATTCGCTGGGGACAAGGCTGGACGATCCGCCACGAGCTCCAAGGTGGTATCAACAAGGCCTCCACGGTCGCCAAGTCTTGTGGAGTACGTACGACCCTCATCATCTGAGTGTATACTCCTGGGTCTGGGACAAGATCGTCGCGGACGAGAACGATATTGTTGGCGCGCACGGGGACACGAACGTGCTCCACGGTATCTTGGACCCCGACCGTGATGGGTACTACGGGCCGCAAGCCCACGAGCTGTACTGGATCACGGATCGAAGTCCTTTCCAGTGACGAGAACGCAATTTCGGCAGTATTTTCGCTTTGTCACGAGCAACGTCTCGCACTGGTTTGCAGAGCACTCGACGCCCAACCCGCTAGGCATTCAGCCCACGGCCACAATCGTCTACGGCAACAAGTTTACGGCGCACTTGAGTACCGAGTAGTGGCGGTGCAGTGGTCATTGCTCGTGCAACTGTATTCACGCATTTTAAACGCTTTACATGAACCAAGTTCAATTCACGTGCGATGCAACCCAAGTCGCCGCGTTGTCGATACCTAAAATGCGTTGTGTCCAATGACCGACAGGCCCAAAATAAAAAAATATTTGGTCTTACCCGGACTTGAACCGGGGACCTTCTCCACGTCAAGGAGACGTGATAACCGCTACACTATAAGACCAGCTTCATGATTGCATATAAAATGTGAATATATAATGAATGTATTGTTGAGTATTGTTGAGATTTATCAATACTTAAAGGCCCCAAGTGCACGGAATACACTTGGGACGTGTCCTTGCACAGCGCCTTTCCTGTCACTTCCACACTCTCCAAACTAAAGGGGTCGATCTAACGAGCAAGTCGTTGTACAGGCTAGAACGTTGTTGATGTATGCGTCCGTGCTGTACTCCAAATGCTGACCAAACCAGTCGAGACCGAGCTTGCGCAGCAGGGTCGCCGAGCAGCGACGTCGCAGTCGACCCAAAAGGCGTCCTGGTGAGCGTGACGACCCTCGTGCATCCCACATCGCGATGGCTTCACTCATACGCAAACTACAAGTCGCCACTTCTGGCACAGAAAATGTTTCAGTTTTGCGGCGTTGGGGCACTGTCCGCAAAAGCGCACTCGCAACAACGGATTCGGTCTCAGTAGCCGTACACTTGATATATCGCTACGTCCGGATAAACATTATTACCTGGAACTATCAACCTATCCGATCTGCAGGCACATGCAGCATGTTCACGCAGACGCAGGATGAAGTTGCCATTCCTGTTATATAAAAATTCAAGTTCTGCGGCGCTGAGGGACTACCTCATCGTGAGGACCCGCAACAACCGATTCAGTCACAGAACCCCGACCTTCGACAACTTGATACTTCCGGATATACTTATCCGTGAATTA